ACAGAGAGAGCCCGAAGGGGAGGGCTTTGTATTGCCAAGCTCGACCTTCAAACGCAAACCGCAGAAACTGTCGGTGGCGAGGAAGAGTGGAGACATGGAAATACGCGTCCATCAGGTCTAATGCTGCAGACCAACCCAGAGGACGAACGCACCGGAGGATGCGCTTCTGCGTGAGCATTCTAAACGGCAGCTTGTGCAGGCAGCGGTTCAAAACGCGCAGATCTAGGATTGGCCGTGACCCACCGCTCTTTTTGGGCACGATGAAGCGTGGGCTGTAAAACCCGCTCTCCATCTCGGCTGGAGGGAGCGGCTCGATTGCATCCTTCGCCAGGAGGACAGCAATCTCCTCTCGCAAGACAGGGGCGGACAGGGGGCTGACCCTGGTGAATACACACCCGTGACTTGGGGGGCCGTTTGGCGAACTGAATCGCATAGCCGAGTCTGATTGTGCGTATGAGCCACCGCGAAGAGCTGGCCCGCGCTAACCAGGCAGGCAGAGCTCTCGCTAATGGACTCATCGCTACAATCGCTGACGTACCAGCAGTGGGGCAGCGCGGAGTGGGTGTGCTGATCCGGAAAGCTCGCGGGTCCCACGGAAAAGCTGGAGGTGAGATATTTGCTCTCACTCCAAACCCGAGCTCCGGAGGGGAGGCTCGAGGGGTGGGAGAAAGGAGACCGTCCTCCCAGCGCTCGTGAGCCACTGGCGAAACGCACCGAATCTGCAAGCTAGAAAGCATAGCGTCCCAGACTGGCAGATTTCGGGCTGTCACATCTGGGGAAGTAAAAAGTGCCCTTTCATAATGTTTTCATGGCAGTAAAAAGTGCCGTTGGAAATGGGGCCCCGCCCTCCAGCGGGGAAAGAGCAAGTTCCCTCTTCTCCAGATGGCCTGTCCCAGGGGCGCTTCGCGGTCCGTTGCCGGACTTAGCGGCGTTCTGGGCAGGGGGGCTGCCTGCTTCCGAGGTGCCCGACGCGCTCGCTTCGCCGGAGGCGTGTGCGGGGGCGGAGCAGCTCTCGTAGGCAGGCGCCTTCGGCGAGGAGCAGGTATGAATGGCACGGCGGGCGGAGCGGGCTACGGACCGCCGATAAGACATCACCCACCAACTGCTCTCTCACCGCCTTGAATTCCTGGGTGAATTCACAGACAGTGTCGCCGAACCTGGCTGGGGATATGGGGAAGTCAAGAAAGCGGACTTTGTCGACTTTGCGCATATCAGCCAGGGGTGGCGCTCCTGGACCACTAATGTGGACATCGTCCTCCCCAACGCACACGCAGCGGACTCAGTAGTCCGAAGAGCTAAGTCGGCGGCGGTGCGAAGCTCGTAAGCCTGGGTTGGACCCACCCTCGTGCAGCTCGGCCAGCGCCTGCGCTTGGTAGCGCTGGTAGGTGGCTATCGCATGCAAGGCGGAAGCAGCCTGGCCCGCAGCTATGTAAGCTCTAGCTCCGAGGGAGGTAGATAACTTACAGGCTTTGGATGGGAGACGAGGCGGACCCCGCCAAGAAGAGGCGCCGCGCGGATTTACCGCCATCGCGCACTCAACCTGAGGAATCGCCACATACCCCCTGGCTGTTTCACCGTCAAGAGTGGTTAGGGTGGAGGAACACGCAGCACGAGCAGAAAAAAGTGCTTTACAAGACCGCGTGAGCCTACTGTGCACCTCCGGGAAGAAGGGAACGCCCCTCTAGTCGGTCCGGCCGCGGAGCTGGGGGATAAACCATCTCCAACCCACGGCCGAAGCAGCCCGGGAAAGCACTGCTAACATGTCCGTTTCAGGATCCGTAGTGACAGCGCTCACCAGCCCGAAGGGGGCGAGCGGGTCTGGATCATCATCGGACAATGAAAGCCCACCCTCCGATGCCGCGGTGGACATCTGGTCTCCGGTGTCATCGGGCGTAAGGGCTACCATCTGTTAGACGGATCGCTTCCCCCGCCCGAAGCTTGGATGGAGCGCTTAGAGGAGCGGGAGGTCCGCGGGCCCGTGGGCGACGGATTATCTCTCGCTGAAACCCTCAGATCTGCCCGAGTGCCCGCTGCAGAGCAGGGGACAACTGGGGTGGTTCACCCTTTTGCAAAGGCTAACCGCGATCTTGCGCAACAGTCATGGCATCGCAATGACGACATGAACTGCCCGCGAGCAGCGCATTAACATGCTGGACCCCCAGACATGTAACGCAGTGCCCGCGCCCATCATCCGAGGACAGGAAACCACCGCATCCAGAAACGCACAGTCGGAGCGCCGTCCTGATAAGGACGTGCTGCACGACTGTGTTGCTCTTTCTGTGAAGTTTGCAACTTTATACGCACCGCTCTGGAGGACCGGACCCAAAGAACGCCGGGCAAGGGAGAAACCCAGCTCGACCGTCTGCCACTGCGTGTACACACTCTGGACCGGGAGAATGCTCTCGTTCGCTCAGAATCGCTGGTCACAGCAGGAGGAACCCTCATCGACTCGATCAGAAAGTCTCTGAAGCGAAAAGGATAGCGTCTGCTGGCGCCAGGTGAGCTTATATACTCAGTTGATTGCTTATGCCGCTCACCTGCGCAGGCTTGCGCTGCCAATTCATTCTTAATTGGCCCGTTCAATACTCTTTCAGACGAGTAGCTTCTGAACCGAACCTCCCAATGCGTGGATTTTACAATCAAATCCACTTATAGTGCTGAAGTTCCCCCCGAAGGGGAACTACAAATAACATCTACTGTAGATCTTTCTGTTCACAAATTGTAATTCTGAATTTTCTTTGTGATTTTTTTTTTTCAAGGTGAAAAACTCCCACACAACTGACATAATAAAAAAAAAAGAACTAAACAACCAGAAGAGAGGTGAATTGCATAATTACAAACTGTGATTTAAAGCAAAGTATTACATAAAAAACAAACAAAAAGGCAAATGTACTGTACAAATCTGCCTATCGAATGGATTCAGGGTGTACTTAAGAAGTATTTAAAGTTGAAAAATGAATATAAAGAAATTGAAGGCCCTTAAAAATTATTAAAAAGTCTTAAATGCTATTTTGCAAGGTATTAAACTCATTTTGAATATGCAATGTATGGTTGTATGCCAAAGTTGGCCTGAAATCTGCTAATATCGATGCTATGTAGTTTATGAAATCAATAAAAATCTTGCAAGATTAATAATGCTACTTTGTGTATATTCAGTAACCAAGGCAACACCATTATTTCCATAGTTCTGTTTGTGCCAACCTACTGAATTAGCTAGATTTAATAGATTTGTATTCAGTATATGAACAGTAAATTGTTTTAGTTTTGGATTAGTTTCTTACATTAATATTTAGTAAATATAATGTATGTTAAAATATTGCCAGTGTTTCTGGCGATATTTTAAACCTAAAGTGGTAATAAGGTCTTAAAAATTATGCAAAGAATGTTAAAAAGGTCTTCAAATGTATGGAAAGAGTCTTAAAAGGTCTTAAAATGTACTGAATTTCATTCTCTGATTCCTGTATATTTTCTGGAATTTAATGAGACCTGCAGTCCCATTCAGCATTGGGAACAATACAGCTGAATTTAAATATATTTAAATATATTGGTTGTATATAGAGAAACAACAAAAATCTAGTTTATTATTTAGAATAGATGAATAAAACAAAAGTGTATAGATACTGTACATACATGGCTTAAAATAAACTTTTTAGGGTAAGAGAATAGGAGAATATTTAATTATTTATTCAGTGGTTTGGCATTCAATTTTCAATTTTGATATTTGAATATTCCACCTAAACACCTGAAATCTCCTGCAAAATAGTCTCATTCGCACTTGAATATGAAATATGAAAGATACAACAGCCCAGAATAATCATTTGTCTATAGCTACATGCTCCTATATCACAGCCATCATGCTCGACATGTTTATAGGTGTAATTTCTTATTCATCCATTCATTTTCCTTTGGCCTATTCCCTTTATTCAGCGGAAAGAATCACCAACTTATGCAGCATATGTTTTACACAGCGGATGCCCTTCCAGCTGCAACCTACTGGGACACATCCATTCACACACATGCATTACGGCCAATTTAATTTATTCAATTCACCTATAGCGCATGTCTTTGGAGAACAACAACACGGGGAGAACATTCCAACTCCACACAGAAATGCCAACTGGCCAAGACGAGACTCGAACCAGAAACCACTATGCTGTGAGGCGACAGTGCTAATCAATGAGCTACTGTATCACCCGGAGTGATTTGTTTGTTAGAAAAATGCTAGGCTATCTTACGAAATGCGTTACTCTTCACAAACCTGTCTTTTTGGTATCACTTGCAGTGTCTGTTTTCAGAGCAAGCCCTGGCTATGTGATGCTCCTGCTGTTCTGTAGTTTATTACGAATTTATTCATTTTGAACATGTCACATCTATAGCCAACAAAATGACAAAAACTTTGTTTTGTACTTTAGCAACACACCCACCACGAGTAAAGTGAATTGGTGGTTCTTTACATAATAAATAAGCAAACAGGCAGACAGATAGATAGACACCCAGAGATTCCTGTCTTTCTTAAAGAGAAGAATATGGCCAACCCCTACACTCTGAAAAATTGTATTCGAACAAGCCCTAAACCTTTTTTTATTTACAACCAATTGGGCTTGAATGTCATTCAAGGCAATTGTTTTAAAAATAAGTCGAATTAATGTAAACAGATGGTAAAAGCATATCCGGTAATATTCCTGGAACTAATTGCAGGTCAGATTTAAATGTCTATCAGTTATGAAAATTAAATAAATAATTAAATAAATTTTCCTATTGAGAAAATGAATAGAGTTTGTCTTCTGGAACCCAACTGTTGTGTTCTTTAGTGTAGCTTTAGGACAGGAGTGCTGATGAAAGGTATGTGTTAAATTCATTCTCTGTACTAACACTGGAGATGGGAATTATACACTCGCATAATATAACAGCTCTCGAAAAGACAAACTGTTTTTGCCCACATACAGTAGTTTTGTCAAACTAACGCTTTTTAATTGTGTTTCCATTTGTATATTTAACAGGGAGGTGTAAGTGGTCTGACTAGCCTGCTGGAGTTTAATGATAATGGGAGCAACCCCAACATCCACTTTGAGATCCTGGGTACCAACTACGGTGAGGACCGCGGTCGTGGAGTCAGCCGGGTAAGAAATGCTCTTTTCAAACCCACAACTAATGATTCTAACGCTTCCAGAAATGCAATTGTCTTAATTCAAAGAGCTTTTGGGTTTTAATTGATAATCACAGAAGCCTAATGAATTCCATCAGCCTCCCTCAGAGAGGCGCAGTGCATCAGCACACACTGTTTATCAGTTTTGCTGTTGTTTGCTCATCTCGGCTTTGGCGGAGTGAAGAGGTAGTTAAGCAGCAGTAACATAAGAGCCGTCCCCAAGTGATCCGCAAAATAATTAATCTGTTCTTTTCCGTTCGTTTGTCGTTAATTACTTTAGTCATATTTATGTGTATTTGCTCGTTCAAATATTGGTCCTAATCTGTCTCTGTCTTCCCAATGGAATGTGGATCAATTGCTCATGACAGAACGGCAGCTTTGGAGTTGAATAATGTGTGGATCGGGCTTCGCCCTCAAATGGGGAAATCCCAATCTCTTCCCGTCTGGAGAAATATGTTGGAGTTGTTTATTAAGCTGGAATAAATGAAAAAGAAAACTGATTTGTGTCAGTTGCTGATCAGGAAGTCATTTAGTAAACGTTCCTGGTGGTTACACAAATGTGTGCACTCGCAAACAAGCCCTTTTTGTAATATTTATGGTTCAAATATCAGGGATTTCATTTTGCTTTCTACAATTTTGAAACAATCAGTAAAATGGTTATTTATTATGCAGTAGTGAAATTAAATTGAGAGCCATTTTCTGGTACGCTAGTTTGAGATCACAGTTATTATATCATTTGCAAGAGCATTAGAGCAGTGACCAATATTAACATGGCTACTGAAATTGGCTTAAAAAGGTTCAAAATTAGCAATCAGCAAATGCTTTTTGTGAGAAGATTAAGTATTATTTGCCTGCAGTTACCAAAAATACTGATAATAATAATAATCCTGCAGCTTTTCTGTTTTCTAATTTCACAAGTTAGTCAGTATTTTAATGCCTGTTTCTTTGCCATTTCTGAAGGATTTTTTCCTTCGATCACTTATTCTTATGACATCAATATAATTGTTTTCTTTATGATATTTACAGTATGATACATTTGCTGAACTTTTGCTATTAAATATGAATTGTAGGCCCTGTAGTTAATGAGTGTTGACTGATGTGTTTGACACTTTCCAGTCTTAATACATTTAAAATCACAAGTGCAAAGATTTTAACGTGCACTAAAGTAATTTATTAGATCAGACAGCAAAACTCGCTGTCATAGTGCAGATCATGGCTCTGAAATGGCTCGGATCTGATAGAGTGAGATGTTAATCAGCAGGTCAGTGATTGCCCTTGAAGACTTCAGTGTGCCAAAGTCCACAGACAACCATCAGACAACAAGCTAGAGTTCTTCCTCCAATCCCACTGATACATCACTACAACCTCACTGCCATCATGCACAAATTAAATTGTCAGATTTCATTAAAGATAATGGTCTCTGACACAAACAAGATCTGCGCTGCACTTCCAAAAAATGAAATGAATATTTTGAGTACAAAGTAATTACATTAAGCAAGTTTCTTTAATCAAAGTGGATAATTACTTTAGGAGCAAAGCTTGTTTTAATGTGTTCGGCTCAGCGCTGCTAGAAAAGAACAAGCGTGTTTGCACTCACTGGCCACTTTATTAGGTACACATGGCCTGGTACTGTTTCAGACCCCTTTTGCTGTTAGATCTAGCTTCATTATTTGTGGCATAGATTCAACAAAGCGCTGGAAACATTTTTCAAAGATTATGGTACACAGTGACATGATAACATCACATCCATGTTGTAATCTCCCATTCACATGCCAAAGGTGGTCTATTAAATTGTGATCTGGTGACTGTGGATAACATGTGAGTTTAGTGAAAGTATTGTCATGTTTAATAAAATAGTTTGAGATTACTTTGGTTTTGTGACATGGCATATTTTCTGGCATATAATTCGCTGTGGTCACAAATGGATGGACATGGCCAGCAACGATACACTAGTTATGGCAATTTAAACAAGAGAGTTGACACATGAGATTTATCCCACACACCATTATACCATCACCATCAATCTGAACCACTGGTGTAAAAATGTTCCCATTCTTAACTGGCAGAAATGTACTGTTCAAAAATAAGGATATGAAATGTGTCTTAAATGTTTTTTTCTGCCCTATTTTATGTATTTATTTTAGAATTAAACTGTAAATTAAGTATAAATTAATTTGGCTTATGTTTATGCAAGAAACATTGCCAGTAGGGTGAGAAAAATAACTTAATTAAAAATATGTTAAATCTAAAAAAGTGAAGGCTAAAATAAATATATCTTGCTTTAAACACATGTAAATATTACATTTACTAATTAATAACTGATTAATGACATTTAAGCCCTCCTTCATAAACTCTCTCCTGCATTTGCTTTGCACTTAACTGTATTTATAGTGTAATGATGTACTGTTCACGAGTAGTATAAATAAACAGAAGGCCAGTTCTTCACAAGTACTGTTCATATGTTGAAGCCACTTGTGTCTTAAACATCTCTCCAATTAACTGCTGTGTTTCCAGACATGCACAATATGTGTTTCCACACTTGTTGACATTGACCAGAAAACAAAACCTGTTTAATGTGACCCCCTGCTAACACATTAGCAGTAGTTATCTCCGTTGCCTCCTGTGAGAGGGATGTTCTTCCAGCCTGCTGAAAAGCTCAGAAAACACACTTGAGCATCTTTCTGAGAGACTTTTTTCTTAGATTTGCACTCCACATTTTTACTGCGTCACAAGGGATTGCACATCGCACAGCTCTTGCTCTCTTTTCATACGGTCAATTGTCCAGAACATAATCAGTCTCTTCTGAACAGGCTTTTTAATAGCTTTTGTTCCTAACATGGACTTGTTGCTGGAGTAATTTGTGTGAAGGTGACTCCAGGGTAATGAATGATCTCCATATTTTAACACCCGGCTTTATATACACCCTTTGATCACAGACAGTGATTAAAAATGTGACTATGAAAAATACTTTTGATTTGTTACAAAACATTTTCACAGGCATTACAATTTTAACAAAAAGTTGATGATAATTGCCACTGGAAGTTTAATATTAATGGGATAGTTCACCCCAAAAGGAAAATTGTCACTATTTACTCACCGTCAAGTGTTTATAAACCTTTTTTTTTTCTTAATTTGAATTTTTGTTTATTAATTTTCTTTTTTTTTAATTTTGAAGAAAGCTGAATACCTGTAACCATTGACTTCTACAGTATGAAAGCAAATGCTTCTGAGGTCAGTGGTTACAGGTTTCCAGCTTTCTTCAAAGTGAAGTTTATTTATATATTAATTTCGAGAGGATGACATGCTTATGACTGACCACGGCTGGTCCTGCATTAGCTATCATATGATTTACCAATCTAAACACACATAAATGACCAGATTTCCTTAACTTAGTCATCTTCGCTTTAAAGAATCCCCCATCCACCCCTACTCCTCCCCTGCTTTCCTAAATTAATCCAGGACAGGGTGGCATGGTGGCTCAGTGATTAGCACTGTCGCCTCACAGCAAGAAGGTTACTGGTTTGAGTCCTGGCTGGGCATGTTGGTGTTTCTGTGTGGAGTTTACATGTTCTCCCCGTGCTCGCCTGGGTTTTCCTGGGTACTCCTGTTTCTTCCCACAGTCCAAAGACGTGGTATAGGTGAATTGAAAAAAAACAAATTGGCACAGTATGTAAGTGTTTTATTACCACGTAGCCATATGCTGATATAGTTGGCGGTTCATTCCTCTGTAGAAACCCTTAAAAATCAATGAATAGGCTGAGCGAACTAATTTAGAGGAGCTCTTGAGATCTACCTGAGCTCAAACTCTCCCCTCTTCCGGGACATCATACCAAACACGCTTTATTTTCAATCATCAGCTTAGTGTGAACTCTAGAAATATATGTTTTTGTGTGACACTCAAACATGTTTCGAGCAAGTAAGGGGTAAATAAACGATGACAGAATTTTCATTTTTGGGAGAATTATCCCTTTAAGAGAAGAAAGAGGTGTGAAGCAGCCAATTAAAAGCATACATTTTATCATAAAATCAATCAAACATCGATGATAAACATGAGTTACTTATGGATGATTTGTCTGTGACATTTATTGAGGCAGTTTGATCAATTAAATCTGATTCTGTCTCGCCCTTTGTTGCCATCACTCCTCGTTTTATTCTTCTACGGTATAACTCCTGCTTTGGCACTGAGACCATTGTGGTTTACAGGTGTCACTCAATTTTACCAGCTTCATTCAGCTGCCATTTCTCATCACACCTCCACTTGTCAAATGTACTACTATCGACACATACAGGCCAGGAAATTACCCAGAAGACTGTATTCTTTCCACCAATACCCCACCCTATCCACAGTTGTGGTCGCAGCCCCTAGGATAAAGGACAAATGTGGGAAGAGGTGACACAAACGATAAAGTGTAGGATGGACAAAGGTGAGATAGGAATGATCATCAGCTTATAGACGGAACTTCATTTTTGGTTTCTAATGACAGCACTGGATGCTCTTAATGATGTTTAGTACGGCTTAGTTCATCTCAGTTTTACATTTCCACTGCAGTTAAGTATTGCTTTAAGTTGGTGGGATTACAGACAAATTGCCATAGTTCCCCGGTCTCTACTGCCATGGTGTAACTTTCTGAATTGCATCTCGTTTGTAATGAGAGAAAGAGAAAAAGAGAATCCCCTCTCACTCTGCCGCTGCTTGCTAACTTTTTTTTTTTTTTTTTTTTGTCATTTATTAGTGTGCATGTTTGTTTTGTAACTATACACCAACTATAAAAATATGTGGGTCTGTTATTAAGTGCCTTGAGTTTTCTTCCCCTTGCACTTCACCTCAGCTCACATGTGCAAGTTATAAATACTCAGACAGAACATGTGCACATCACCTACTGATCACAATGCAATGTTGATTAAAAAAGTCCTACAGCAGCTTTGACTGACTTTATTGTTTGTTAGGCATTTCTCGAAGCATTTAGAAAATTC